GCCCAAGCCCAACAAATATTTCCCTCACAACTATGTGGAGGGAATCGCCAAATCGACGATGTCACAACAAGCTTTAAGTTTCCCTCTTGGTAATGCTTTAATCATCATATTATAACCATTATCATTTGTATGAACTGTAGCTAACTCCAACAACTTAGCATCCAAAATATCATGTATCCAATGATATCTCACATCAATGTGTTTGGACCTATTATGAAAAGTTGGATTCTTACCAAGATGAATAATGCTTTGACTATCAACAAATAACACATATTTGTATTGAACAAAACCAAGCTCCTGCAAAAAATTTATTCAACCATAGTAACTCTTTGCATGCTTCGGTAATTGCAATGAACTCATCCTCTATAGTAGACAGTGTTACACACTTTTGCAATCTGGACTGCCAAGTCACACCCCCTACAAATTTAATCATGTATCCGGAAGTGGACTTTCTGGAATCAATGTCTCCACCCATATCAGAGTCTGAGTACCCCACCCCCCTAAAGTAGGCTTTTCTCCTCCAAAAGAAAGCCTCGCAGAAGTAGTACCATAAAGATGCCTTAGAATCTATTTTACAACATTCCAATGCTCTCTACCTAGATTTGACAAAAATATACTGATTGTACCAACAACATGTGTTATATCTGGTCTTGTACACACCATTACATACATTAAACTGCCAACATCAGACGCATAAGAGATACGTTTCATATCAAATGCTTCATCTCCACTTGAAGGACTTTGATTAGAACTCAATTTGAAATGAGTAGTGAGAGGAGTGTTTACCGCTCTAGAACTTTACATTTTGAATCTTTGCAGCACTTTTTTGATTTAATATTCTTGTGACATCCAAATTTTCTTCTCTTTTCTGTCACGCATGATTCTAATGCCAAGAATATGCTTAGTTTCTCCTATGTCTTTCATGGAAAATGACTATCCTAATTTTTCCTTTAAGTTGTTAATGTTAGAAATACTTTTCCCTATAATAAGCATATCATCAATATATAACTACAAGATAATAAAATCATCATCAGAAAATTTTCTAACAAAGATGCAATGATCTGAAGTAGTCTTCTGGTATCCGTAATGACACATAACAGACTTAAACTTCTTGTACCACTGTCTTGGAGCTTGCTTTAACCCATATAAACTATTTCTCAATCTACACACATGATCTTCTTTACCTTTTACTTAAAAACCATCGGGTTGTTTCATGTATACCTCTTCCTCTAAATCACCATGAAGGAAATTCGTTTTCACACCCATTTGCTCAACCTCTAAAACAAGAGTAGCAACCAGACTCAACACGGTTCTAATTAATGACATCTTTACAACAGGTGAGAACATATCATTAAAATGAACACCCTTTCTTTAGAGTTGCTCTCATGTTTAACTCTATAAATCCATTTGTTTTCCAAATCCCTTTTGCCTTTAGGCAGCTTCACTAAATCATAAGTGTGATTGTCATGCAATGATTTAATCTAATCATGCATTGCATCTATACACTTTTGATTTTCATCACTTTCCATGGCCTCTTGAAAATATTCGGGGTTCACCCTCATCAGTCTAGGTCACATACTCATTAGAATTATACCTTGTAAAAGTTTGTCTTTTCCTGTTAGACCTCCTAAGTTGAACTTGAGCGATTCTGGAGCTTCACAAAGATTCTCATTTTATGACATATCACTATCCCCTTCACCATAATTAGTTGGAATATTTACCTAATCTCCAAGTTGTTGATCATCAACATAACCATATGGCCTACCAATGTGATTATCACCACCAATAACATCCCTATTATGACTAAGTAATCGAACTGGATCAGCACTAGACAAACTAATATCTTTCTTGGGTGTAGCCTTCTCTACCTTATCAATGTCTTCAATAGTTTGGTCTTCCATACGCACCACATCGTGTTCGAATAAGCTTCTTCCCTAAAGGATCATACAAACTATAACCAAACTCTTTTTGCCCAATACCTGATGAAAATACATTGTTTTGACTTTGCATCCAACTTGGATCTTTCATCCTTTGGAATATGCACAAAATCCTTACAACCAAAGACTCACAAATGATCATACTTGACATTATTTCCAAACACAATTTTGTTTGGAACTTCACAGTTCAAATCAATAGTAGGAGTGAGATTAAGAACACGCACTGTCGTGTAAAGTTCCTCGCCCCAATAATGATTAGGCAACTTAGCTTCAGAGAGCATACACTTTACTCTCTCAATTAGTGTTCAATTCGTTCTCTCTGCTAAACCATTCAATTGAGGAGTGTTATGAGGAGTCTTTTCATGTGTAATACAATGTTGCTTGTAATAGGAATCAAATGATCCATAATACTCTCCATCATTGTCTGAACGAACACATTTTAACTTCTTCTCTGTTTGCCTCTCAACCAAAGCATGAAATTATTTGAACTTTTCCAACAGTTGGTATTTTGTCATCAAGACATAAAACCATAAGTAACAAAATAAAATGCACCACTAAAGGATTTAACCTTTAATGAACCACAAATATCATAATGTACCAATCGAAGTAGCTTTGACTTTCTTGAGGGATGATGTCTTTTGAAAGATACTCTAGTATGTTTACTAGCCATCCAATGAGAACACTTCTCCAAATCTACATTCTTTAATCCAAGAAGAACATCTTTTTTGGTCAAAACATTTATCTGCTTTTCACTAATATGACCAAGTCTTCGGTGCCAAAAAGATGTTTCCATGTTGATAGCCTTCACATTGTCCCTAAAAACCAAAGCTTTTGTCCAATACAGTTTAGAAAAATTTTCCCCTCTAGCCACAACCAAGTTACCTTTGTTGAGTTTTCATTTTCCAGAACCAAAGTGATTATTATAACCACAATCATCTAACATATGCAGAGATATCAAATTAAAGCGGACATCTAGAGCATGTTTGACACCTCTAAGCAACAATTGTATTCCTATGTTGGTTTCCAAGCAAACATCACCAACCCCAATTACCTTAGATACACCATTGATATCCATATTCAACCTTCCAAAATCACTAGAAGTAAAATATGTGAAGAAATTCTTCCTTGGTGTAACATGCAATGTAGCACCACTGTCAACTATCCACATGCTCTCATCTGATAAAAGATCAACATACTCATTATTACGAAGAATAATAAGATCATCACTATTAGCAAATGTAACACAATCATCATCATGATCTTCATGGTCTCTTTGTTTAGACTTACTCTTCTTTCCTTTGTTATCTCTTTTCCATTGATAGCAGTACTTTTGTATGTGTCCTGTTTTGTGAGAATAATGAGACTCCAGGTTCTTGTATCGCAGCTTGGACTTGCTTCTACTATTCTCCCTACCACCCTTCGGTTTCTTTTTATGACTTCTCCCCTTATTTTCAGTGACAAGTACCTCAGGTTGAGATGAAGAATCACGTGTCTTCTTTCTCATCTCCTAATTAAGAATGCCACCCTTATCCGTTTCCAAAGAAACAACACCTCTAGGAGCAGAACTTGTTATAGAAATCTAAAATGTCTCCCAAGACTCTGGTAAAGATAGAAATAAAAATAGACCCAAAAGATCATCATCAAAGTTGATACTCATTCCTGACATCTGATCAAGGATCCCTAGAAATTCACTCATGTGATATAGAATAGAAGTTTCCTCCTTATATTTCAAACTTATGAAGCTATTCAACAAGAACAATTTATTATTCACTGATTTAGAGGCATACAAGAACTCTATCTTCTCCCACAAAGTTTTTGCATGTGTCTCATTAGCAATATGATTATAAACATTATCTTGTACATATTATCAAATAAAATCACATACATGTTGATGTTCAAACTCTCATTCTTCATCAGACACAGAATCTGGTTTTTCGAAACTAAAAATCGGTAAATACAATTTCTTCACATATAGTAAGTCTTTCATTTTTCCCTTTCATAAATGGTAAATATAACCATTCAACAATATCATCTTCATCTTTGGATTTGACTTCATCATTCAAACAAGTAAAATAACCCTTAGCCAAGGGCTCTAATGCCACTTTGCTGAGAAATTAGAACACAATAACAGACCAATACGTATAGTGGATATAAAATTCTCCAGACTTGTAGAAACATTGAGGATCAATAACAAATATAAGAGAACAAATCGAACAAACAAAGACACAAAAGAACACAAATATTTTTACGCGAAAAATCCCTCAACATGAGTAAAAATCACAAGTCGTTATGACCAAATAAATAACTTCATTATAAACAATTAAGGGTATAAGAGAGTATTAAAGTGATTCACAAACTAGTACTAACAACTTTAAATCACAAAACAAACTAGCGAACAAATAAGAGAATCAAAAAGTTGAAAAATTTCTCAAATCAACAAATCTAGGGCAGAGTAGATCACTCTCACCTCAAAGTTTTGAAATTCTGAACGGTCAAGAGTTAGATACATGTGTTACGAACATACCATCCAAATTTGAGTTCGATCCGACAATTAACGAATCAGGGATCATCAATTTAGTGAGAGTGATTCCAAAAAAACGAAAAACAATTTCTCTTCTCTTTTTTCTTTTTTAAATCCTTATTTTTTCTCTATCTCTCAATCATAAATTGATCATTTCCACTCAAATAAATAAAATAAATAAACTAAAATCATATTTGGATCATTTAACACATTAGAAGAGAGACCAAACCCAACCATACATATTAGAAAAAACTGTAAATTGAGGCTACTTATAAAATCATATTGCATTAAAATTAAAAACAGTTTAAGTTATTAAACTGATGAGTACTAATACACAAGTTACAGCGAATTACACTGAAGATGCACTTTAATACACAAGTTACAGCGAATTACACTGAAGATGCACTTTTCATTACTAGCTAGCTATGATCACAAGACATTCATTCAAATACATATTAATGACTAAACATACCATACCATCACTAATTAAGCATTATACTTTCATATGATAACCCCTATACTATTTTAGAAGCATTTGTGAATTAAAACTGCGGAAGAGGCATTGCCAACTGATCAAGTAGAGCAGTAACAGGTGTGGCCAACCTAGGATCATAAGCAAAACCATGCAACTCAAACCCATCATAACCAGCATAAGGACATGGTGGAATCCACTGCCACCTCTTCCTTCCTATATCATACACCAAACCCTTATCACTTCCTTTTATCATTATCACAATAAACTCACCATTCCCAACACACTCAAATCCGTTCCCATTTTCCATATCAGCAAACTGAACATAAAGTTGTTGTGGCATTCTCTCAGTTTCCACCCACACACTTCCACAGCCTTGCAAACTCCAAACCCTCAAACTCTTTGGAACATTCAGCTTACTCTTCTCAACAGCAGCAACAAGCAACAACTTTCCTTTGCATTCAACCAAGTTAGGTGACCTTAAAAACCTCCTCATAGGAGCTTGGATTTTGAACCAAGTGTTTGTAGCTATATCATAAGCTAAAACACTGAAAGGACTACAGTTCATGCAGTAAAATTTCCCTTGTGAATAAACCATCCTACCTGATTCAAGACTACAGAGTCTTGGTAATGAAGAGGTTGTTCCCCAAATGGAATAAAACCCACTTGCATCGATATGAAAGCTTTCAGATGATAGGTTTTTGACTGCATAAGGTGATATCATGTCATCACCTGCAGCAGTAACATCTATGGAAGATGGAGTAATGGTTAAACCTATTGAAGGGAAGAGTCTTGGTCTTAATGTTGGTGGTAACTGAGTAATGGAACCGAGGATCGGGTTTGAGAGAAGCATTGTCTTTGGACCGGACTCATCAGAAACCCAACAGAGTAAACCAGCGGATGAAGAAGATGGTGAGAAACCAGAAGGAATTAAAGCAAAGGAAATACGGTACCATGTCACTTCATTAGGATCAAAGATGTAGCCTTCAAAGGAATTATTATCAGTGATGGTGTTGTTTTTGTAGATGTGGGTTTTTGACCTGATTTTGTGTTTGAAGAATATGAACCAGTGGAAACGAGGTGAAACTTGAAGGTATAGTTCAAGAAAAGAGTTGGAGAAGAGAAGAGAGTAAAATCTCTTGCAGACAGCACGTGCACGAAAGAAAGCAGGTGGAGGAAGGAAAGCAAGGATGCGATCAAGTAGTCTTTGAGGAAGCTTACTCCATATCCTGCTGTTCATCCATGGAGTAGTACTGGTAGTGTTGTAAGTGGTGGTTGTAGTAGTAATATTTGTGATAGCACCAGAAGCGGTAGCAGTGATAGGGAAAGTGTATGAAAAAGAAGGGTTCATGTTCATGTTCATGCTCATATTCATAGATGGGTGAAAACCTTCCATAAATATGTAGCTAGGGTTTGGCTTTAAAGTAAAAGGAAGGTTATGGTTATATTTTGTTACTTGAGAAAGAAAATATTTGTGGAAAAGAACGCTATTAGGGAAGCACCTAAGAGGGGAAAGGAGTGTAGTGTGTAGGGTTGGAAGGGTGAAAAAGGTGGTTTTTGGAGGGATAGTTGGTGGTGAAAGCTAAAAATCACCTGGGAGGAGATGGTAGATTCTGTTCCTCATTTTCAGTGGGATTTGGAGAAAGATACTAGAGAGAGAGAGAGAGGAGGGATATGCAAGAAGAGATCAAAGTGTGATCGGTTTCATAACCAGAAATGGAACAAAAGACGTGAGTAAGAAAGAAGCATTGAAATGGGTAGTGGTAGTGGGTAGGGAAACTGTATATATAGGCTAATAAATATAGAAGAATAGAGATAATGAGGTTTTGTTACTTGTTTTTTAGAATAGAAAATGTTTATTTTTTTCTGTTTATTCACCCTAGGTTCATGGTTTGTTTCTGATGTATGCATCTATCATTTCAGTGTTGTTTTGTCAAAGCCGAGGTTGGAAGCAAGGACATATTTTTGCAGAAGAGAGACTCAGCTCCACGCTAGCTAGTACAAAACTACAGCGTCAATGTGGCGTCAAGGTTTATTATAGTTTCCAACATTAGACACTTCTTGATTCTAACTACCAGTATCCCTTACACTCTCCTACAGATGGTTTATCAAAGCTCTAGTTCGATTTGGTAGAGAGGGTTGGAAAAGAAAAATGCTATATTGAGATTTTATGATGAATTAGAAGGAGAAATTATTTGAGGAATTGAGAGGATATTTTACAAATTTGTTTACTTGCTTCTAGTTGTTTCCACTAGCTTTTAATAGTTAGGTTTATAAATGATAAGCTCTTTTTATTTATAGGATTTAAAAAAGAATTTTACATGTATCTATGGATTCATGAAAGAGATAGTTCTACACACTTCGCTCTATTACTTACATCTCTCTATAACTTTCTTTGGATTACATCACTAATACCAATAAATAGGCCTAACACTTTATTAGTCTAATGGATCAAATTAAGTTTATATTTCGACGTCCCTTTCTTAAACTTGACTTGCCCATAAAATGTCTTATTTATCTTGAACTTTTTGTATTTGTATCATTTCACTTGTTTCTTAATAGTTGTTCGGTTTACTCTTGTTTCTCAATGACTTCATCCAAAAAGATACACTTCACGTCTAACTGATGGATTTTTAGCTTGTGTTAAAATGCTGGAGAAATTATAATTTTTATGATATTCTTACGGACGACTAAAGAAAATGCCCTTTATAGTAAATCTTAGCGTTTTTACTGTCCTTTTTTTTGCTAGTCTTGTCCTGTATGGTTTGACTTTTTCATTGATATTCTTCTTTGACTTGCACATTTTCTTCACCCCACATCCTTATGCTCTTTCAAAAGCAAAATGAGTTCTCATGTGTCCTTATTCTCCATGGATTTCATTTCTCTATCCATTTCTTTTCTTGACCTCTCATCTTACACAATTTTTTCAAAGTTTATAGATCCATAATTTGAAGAAAGACTTAGTAGTCTGGAATTATCCGTACCTTAAGTTTCTTCATAGAGATATTTAAGCCTTCATGGAGATAATGTCTCTATATTTTCATAGATATCTTGAAAACTTTGTATATGTGTTACTCCCCTTTCACTTGTAGTGTCTTCAAAAGTGGATGATGTCGGTGAGTGAGACTCTTGTTGAATTTCTCTAAATGTTTCTTCTTTAAAATCTAGAAAGAAACTACAGTCTTTTTTCTGAGTATCAAAGTGTCATTCTCCTCTGCGTAGTTGATCTAGATGATTGATTGGTGGTAGACCTCTCACCATATTTTGTTTTGACATCAAACTTAAGCCTCCCAAATTTAAGTCCCAAATCGAAGATGTCAAAGCCACGATGCATCGTTGTAGCACGCTTTTATACATTTTTCTACGCTATTTTGGATATTTAACAAGAACATCTTATTCCTCAACATTTGTAACTTTTTACCAGATTATTCTTTCCATCTTTGATGGAGAGATTTAAATATTTCACGTGAATCTCATAATTTTTTTTTTAAAGTTGTTTCAAACTAAAAATATTGTTCTTCAAGTTTGCAACATAGTAAACATTTTAAATAAACGAATGTCTTCCATCTTTTAAACGGATTAATATATTACTTTTAATATTCACTAGAACCTTAGAATCATCACCAAATGAGTTATTTCCATTGACAGATTCATCAAGTTCTATGAACATGCTCATTTTTCCACACATATAATTGCTTGCATCAATGTTAAAATATCATGAATTATCTTGGCTTCCTTCGCTATTTCCACGTGCTAGCAACATTATTTCAAACTTCTCATTCTTTCCTTCCACATAGTTGGTCTTCTCCTTGACTCTATTTTTGAAAGATCTACATTCTGGAGTATAATGGTCAAACTCTTGACAATTGACATTGACTTTGAGATTTATGACTATTTGTCTTTATGTATCCTCTTCCTCGTCCCCTTGTTGAGGTTTCTCCCCTCTAATAACTTTCGCTAGTGAAATTTGAAACTCGTCCATAGTTACCACGTTCAAAATGTCACTGGTTGTGACCTCGTACTCGACTTCTACTTCGACTATGTTGGCATCTCCCTTTTTTTTTAGTTTCTTCATTCTCCTTTAGTTGCTTCTTGAATATTTTTTCAGTGATCTCTTTCTTCTTTCTTTATGCAAGTTTTTATCTTCGTCATTTACCAATATTTCGATTTCAATTATTGTCACTTAAATTCATTTACATTTGAAGTAAGTTGTTTTATCATGGACTCTGTCGAAGTGTTCATAGTCTGTATAGACTTTATTTAAGATCAATTAGCACATGTCCTAGAATTTGTATGGTCGATCCTGCAAGTAAAACAAATCTTTTTTCAATTTGTAAGACCAACGGTTGTTCACCAATTTTTGCGGCGAACAAATTGGCACTCCCGGTGGAACAATGCTAAGTGATCATAAAAATCGCTTCTAAACTCTTTTTGGGAAAAATTTATTAGTTCTGTGGTAAATTTTTTCTTCGAAAAACTTTTTTGCATGTTATTAAGAAGTGGTAAGGTAGCCACCATTAACAAAGATATAACAAAGAGGAGATATAGGAGGAGAATGGCGACAAATTCAAACCAGTCAAATATTCCACATGATGTCCCAAATAATAATATAGAACAACCCATAGGGGCTTCGACAGGAGGACCAACGGTCTCAGCGTCTGTTTCTGAAGAAATACCGTTTATGGGAAGTTCGATGCCCACACATTCGATTTCCCATACGCAACCTATTCTGACTTATATTGGGTCAAGGGGTCCTCCACAGACTTGACCACCGATAGGGACTTCGACATTTAGAGGCATCTCTCCCCCTGGGTTTTTAATGCATTTGCCTTGAGACCCGCCCTATGGAATGTCAACTTCGATGATGGAAAACTTACAAAACGACCCTCCATTATACACAGACCCCATAATGACTTCGCCATTACAGGGATCTGGCTTTGGGGTAAATATGGGTCAAAATAGTCAAAATTTAGGTATAGGGTATTCAACCCAGATGCCAAGTTTGACAACCAATTCTACATCTTATTTGGGACAACAGATGGACAAAAGTAACCATCAAATAGTTCAAATGATGTCTCAAACTATGGGGAAAATCTTCCAGCCCCTCATTCAGAATACTACACAAACCAATCAACAATTGGCAGCGCAAATGACACGCCTTGTAGAATTCTTAGGTGGACCAAATCCCCTTCGATAACCACCGAGGAAGTATATGATAGAAAACCAAGGGGTAGTCTTCGACGAAGACAACACCAGTAACCAAATTCCACAAAATCTGGCCCAGGAAAATCAAAACAACCAGGGAATGATCGAACGACCTAGAGTCGAACCCCCTAGGAACCAACCACAAGTTCCTAGAGAAGAAGAATCAAGGGTAGTTTTGGTAAATAGAAACCAGGATGCTGAAAGTATCATACAACAAGTTCGACGTAACAATCTAGCAGCAGGCAATAATTTGGCTGCCATGGTCGAAAGGATCATGGCACGTAACGGAGTAAATTTTGGCCTTCGGTGGCCAAATTATACATCACCATTATCAGAGTATATCCTTCAGTCAGATTTACTCCCGAGAACAAAGGTTCCCAAGTTCACTAAGTTTTTTGGGGATACCACTAAGTCTACTGTCGAACACGTGGCTAGGTATTTGGTAGAAGCGGAAGAAATTTCAAATGATGAGAATCTTAGGGTCAAGTATTTCCCAAGTTCTCTTACAAAAAACGCTTTTACTTGGTTCACAACCCTACCTCCAAATTCGATTCACAATTGGGCCCAGTTAGAACGTTTATTTCATGAACAATTCTACATGGGACAAACGAAGATTAGTTTGAAGAAATTGGCTAGTATAAAATGAAAATTGACTAAGCCAATTGATGATTATTTGAATAGATTTCGACTTCTCAAAGCAAGGTGTTTCACACAAATACCAGAACATGAGTTAGTCGAAATGGCTGCTGGTGGCCTAGATTATTCCATCAGAAAGAAATTAGATACTCAATACCTGAGGGATATGGCTCAGTTGGCCGATAGAGTTCGACAGTTAGAATGTTTGAGAGAAGAAAAAGTGAGGGTGAATAAGAATAAAAGAATAGCCTATGTCAAATTCAACAAAGACGACGAAGGGTCGTGCAATGATTCTATAAGTTTCGACGAAAATGAAGTAGATCTCGCTGAATTGAAAAAAGGTTCACCCTATTCTTGCAAGGTTTTATCACCTTTAAATGGGAAGAACCCTACTGAATGAGATAAGAATGATAAGTTTCCTAAGAGAATTTATACATTCGATGTCACAAAGTGTGATGAAATCTTCAATTTATTAGTTAAAGATGGGCAAATGATAGTACCTCCTGGTGCTAAAATGCCCCCTTTAGATCAAAGAAAGAAAAGAGGATTTTGCAA